CAGTGGAGAGAGGGGTACGCTTAGTCAATGTGTGAGGATACAAAGACATTTTGAGGCAAACTTGTCATAGACCATGTTCTGCTTGGTCGGGTCATGAAAGTCCAACTGAAAAGTAGGTCATGGGCAGCAGAAGCACCTTCCATACTGGCCAAGAGAGAAAAGCATATGCATGGAATCATTTGTAGTAGAAAACAAGACGGCCCCTTATATGTTCCTGCTCCTCCCCAATGCTGGGTAAGCCCCTTGCTTCAGTTTATAATGGTTCCTCTTTGAAACTTCCTGCAACAGTATGTACCCCACCCCGCCCCCCGCCCGCCAACCCCAAACATGGCTGGAGAAAACCAAATGGCCAGGTAACTAACCCTCCACAAATTCACACTCTGTCAGCTCCGAGAGGAACTTGTTGCCCCTCAGATACTCTAGGAATCATCTGAGCCAAACTCCTGACATGTTTGCTCAATTTCAGGGATAAATCCATTGCTTCCCCAACTCCTCTGCTTCTCTCTGTCAGCTGATAGTGACTTCGTCACTGAGAACATGAAGGCAACAGAGAAGGAGCTCCTCACAGGATCTCCTGACTTAAGATTTCTCCATGTGCTGGTACATTCACTCCTTCTTCTTGCTATGGTCTGAATGTTCCTGCCTCTCCCTATTCACATGTTGGAATCCTAAAGCCCCAGTGATGGTGTTAGGAGCTGGGGCTTTAGGGGGTGATTAGGTCATGAGGTGGCACCCTCATGAATGGGATTGGCATTCTTAAAAAGGAGACCCAGAGAGCTGCCTTGCCTCTTTCACCATGTGAAGACACAGGGAGAAGGCACTGGCTATGAACCAGGAAGGGGCCCTCACTGGACCACACTGGCACCTTGATCGTGGACTTACAGCCTCCAGATTTGTGAGCAACACATTTCCGCTATTTATAAGACAGTCTGTGGGATTTGGTTACAGCAGCCCAAATGGACTAAGATGCATCTCTTCTGTCTCAAAACTGAAATGTTTCCAAATGTTCATAGATGCCTCATTTGTAGCGGCCCAAAGCTGAAAACAATCCAGGTACCCATCCACAAGTAAGTGGATTGACAAATTGTGGCACATCCACGCAATGGTTTGCAACTCAGCAATGAAAAGCAGTGAGCTACTGATACATGGGACAAGTCAGATGAATCTAAAAGCAATGACGGTGAGCCCCGAGAGAAGCCAGGCAAAAAGAACCCATAACATTTGATTTTGTTGCTATAAAATTCTAGAAATTAACAACTAAGCTAGAGTGAAAGAAGCAGATCTGTGGGTTCCCCCGGGAATGAGGTAGAGGGCAAGGAGGAAAGATTGTAGAGGGGTATGAGAAAACTTTGGGGGTGATGGATATGTTGGTTACAACATCTGTACATATGTCAACACTCATCAAATTTCACACTGTAAATACAGAGAGGTTATTGTATGTCAGTTATATATTAATAAAGCTATAAAAAAGTATGTCTTCTTCTTTCCTAGACCACCTGCTCTATTTGTACACCCTTGGTCACCTGAGTCATCATTCCCCAGCTCTTGTTCCCTGTCCCCACCACCTGGACCCACAGATGCCTTCTCTTTGGCATAAAATAGGATCCGAAATTGATTCTTGTACAAATTGCTTCCCTGAATTCTTACGCCCCTGAGTTGTTGTCTTTTCTTTCTCTTTACTCCAAGTGCTTACGACGATAGTGCACTCTACCCCCAATCATTCCCATTTATTTCTCCACTCCCGGTCCCCTGGCATCTCTCCCCAACACTGTAGGGGCACTGCTTCTTCTCTGTCTCCAGTGATGGCAACTTCAGTAATGTCTTCTGAATTCGCACCTGCCAGGCTGCCCTGACAACACTCTTCTGGTTCAATTTCCACACTGCATACCCAGGGGATACCCCATTCATGTCTCCCTTGGCTCCGTGCCTTCCAAACCTCACTGCTTATGAGTTTTTCAAGGATCTGCCTGCCCTTTTCTTCATTCCCTATACTCGGCAAATGTATCTACTCTGGCCTCTCCATACAAATGGCTCACCCTTGGCTCTGACTGGATTCTCTGTTTAATACCTCTAGTGAGAAGATCTAAAGCACCTTATCACTGACTCTGGTAGGCCCATCTTTGGTCTCTATATATGGCTATGGAGCTCCTCCGTGGCTCCATTCTCAGCTTCAGACACTGAACGAATACAACCCTGTGCAAACCAGGGGAAGAGAGTGATTCCCAAGGGTCTTTCCCTAGGAATGTGGTATGATGTCAGGAGCTGCAGGGACCATCCCAGAAAACTAGAGAATGTAGTTGAGCAGGAAGAAAAAGAGACTGAAATGGATCTTGTTGGAACCTAACACGTATGTGCCCCACACCAAGCTGTGTCTAAAGTCGGCCCACCTCTAAGACTTTTTGTTGTAAAAGTCAATACATTCCCTGCTGATTTTCTGTTACTAGCAACCAGAAGATTATGAAATGTATATTCCTTCAACCATGATGTGGAGGGACATCCCCCCACAAGTGTCCCATCACAGAAATACACTAAAGCCTTAAACATCTATGTTCTACAGTTTGCCACATTACAACCATAATAGAACGGAGAGTGCGCCTGCTCACTGTTTCACAGTGCCGCAGTGCCTGGGCCACTATGGACACCCAACACCCTGTTTAACTTTGTGTTGATCTCTAAAGAGTTCTTTTTGTGAGAGAAGGACATTGAGCATCACAACATCCCAAATGGACTAAGATCTCTTTTTAGGTATGCATCATTAACCCTTCTAAAATTTCATTTTATAACTCTTCTGGCTTAAACTCTTTTCAACGGTTCCCATTGCCCCTAATGTGGAAGTCTATCCACTGATCAAATCCACCAGGCCTGTGGGGTATGATCCCTGGTGACTGCCCCATTCCATCCTTTGCCACTGCACCCCCAAACCTTCTTCACCCTGGCCTCTTTTTAATTCTTTGAATAAGCCAAGATCTTTTCAACCTTGGCATTACTGGCCTCGATATTCCTTCTGCCTGGAAAGTATGTCTTCTCATCTTAACATCTTCTTAAAGACATCATCCTAGACTACGCATCTGCAGGCAGTACCCATAATCTTTATCCTCCACGGCACCTGTCGTTTTCTTAAGAGCAGGTATCACAGTTTGTGTTTATACAAGCTGTTTGAATGACACATGCTCACTCTATGACTGTCATGCAAAGTTATAAGAGGGAAAGGATCATTTCTGTTCCATTCAACCACATCGCTGGGATGAGTCCTGGCCACAGTAGATACTTAAAAATATTCATGAACGAATGAATCTTCCACAGCAGGTTAGTATACTTGGCGTGAATTGAGGCTTAATAGATAGTGTCTGTATTGGGCATTATTATCCCTTTTTTAGTCCCAAGATAACCTTCTGAAGCCCTACCATCGTTGACTGTCACAGAATAACCCAAAACAAATAAATGGCAACACCATCACTATAACCTGGTAGTCAACACAATAGTAACAAACACCTGCTAAACCAGCAAACCCATTAAATGAATGCATCCCTAAGTTTGAACAGCCAGCTATAGACAGGCAATAGCAGCACTAATCACAAAACCCCAAAGGTGGAAACAACCCAAATGCCCATCAGTGAATGGAGGTACAAACAAGAGTGGCATAACCATAAAATGGAATTATATTCAGTCACAGAAGGGAATAAAGTACTGATACGTGCTACAGTGTGGATGAACCCTGAAAACATTCTATTAAGTAAAAGAAGCCAGTCACAAAAGGTCGGACGTGGTGTGATCCCATTTTTTATGAAATGCCTAGAATAGGCAAATCCATACGGGCAGAAAGCACATTTGCAGGAATGTGGATCGTCTGCTTAATGGGTAGAGCGTTTCCTCCTGGGGAGATGAAAATGTTCTGGAACTAGATACAGTGATGGCTGCACTAAGCTGTGAGTTTCTCAACCCCACGGAATTATACACACAAAACTTGGTAAAACCCTCCTGCTTCAAACCAAGAAATTCCTCCACAAGTTCTGGTTTTTCAGAGGCCTGGGGGCAGGAGAAAGAGGCACAGTTGCCTTCCATCGATAAAATGTTCTGGACTACAGGCCTGGTGTGTGCTTGCAAAGAATTCCTCAGAAGCTCTCAAATGTGCAGATACATCTTGTGGTATATGCGGGGTGATTTTAGGTCATGCACAAATGAACAAGTGTTTAATTTTAACAGTTAGTTTTCTTTAGGCTTATCTTTGACTAGTAGCCAACAATGGTGGTTTTTAACTTATGGTGGTGAAAAAATGCATCTTTTTTGTTTGTTGGCTTGCTTTTAATCCCCGGAATGCATTCACATGCAATGAAATGTACTCTCTTTGGTGCATAAAGTCACGTAAACAAACAGCCACCATCAAAACACAGAAAATTCCATGAGCCCAGCAAAATTCTCTGGCGCTCCCCTTTGTAGTCCAGGCCTCCCCCACCCTAGGGCTCCCAGAAAACACAAAAGAACACAGGTGAATCTCAAAGGCATGAAGAAGGCTAAGGAGGCTGAAGAAGACAGGGGCCGACATGGGCAGGAGCTGTGAACACGCATGAGGTCTCTTTCCGGGGGACAGAAATATTCCGAAATTAGACTGTGCCAAATGGTTGCACAACTCTGCAAATACACTAGGAATCGGTGATTTGTGCACCGGAAACTGGTGAATTTTATGGTATATAAATTATGTCTCCATAAAGCTGTTTAAAAAATCACGCAGTGTATTATCCTACTGAGAGGACATGATTCAAGAAAAGGCAGAACAACAGGAACAGAAATTAGATGAGAGTTTCCCCTCATGAATAAAGTTAAGGAAAAAAGCATTGATTTCAGTAAGCAGCATGAGAGGAGGCCTGCAGACAGGTGGATTCTACGAGCCGCTGCGACAGGGGCGGGCTCAGGGGTTGCTCCGCGGCAGGAGCCTCCGTGGGGTGGGGTGCGCCCGGCCGCCACTGCCCCCCGCCCCCTCCCCGGGACCGGCGCCCACTTACTGTGGCAGTGCCGGACACGGTCTGCGCGCTCGTGTCCGCTGCGCTCTGCTCGGAGTGCGTCTGGGCGGGAGGATACAGGTTTAACGTGTGCTCCGGGACGGTGGTCTGGCCCGTGTACTCTGGTGCGGGGTGGGGATGAGGTGCCGTGTATTCCGCGGGGATGCCGTTCTGGGGGGGAGCAAACTGGGCCGAAGCGTAAGGCTGAGCCATGGTGTCCGGGGCAGCTGCTGCTTCCTGATTACCCTGGAAAATCAGAAAGGGGGAGACAAGGCGAAACACCGTGAGCGCGAACCAGGCAGAACCTCTCCCTGGGGCCCAAGGATGAGCGCTCCCCCGACACTTTGCAGGTGCCAGCACTGTGCCAAGAGCCTGAGATGGATGCATCCCACTTAATCTTCACCAGACTCTATAAGGAAATAGTACCTGTCATTTATATAGACCTAACCCCATTGCGCAGATGCAGAAATCAAGGCTCAGAAAGGTGCAGGGAAGTCACATTCCCCACGCCATACAGCCCCAGAGCCAAGGAGTGGGAGGGTCTGTGCCCTGCTCGATTGGATTTTTCTGGCAGATCCTCCTTATTTCATCCCCATTTTGGAACATGTGAGCATGTAGTTGTCTCCAGTGACAGCAGAGACTTGATTTGATACTTAAAATGCCAAGAGAGAGATTAAATTGAACGTGTGTGTTCTTGAGAAGAGACACAATTCATCTAAGCATTTGAATTTAATCAAAGTTTTATGTGACTTGGCTCACATAATGGGATGGAGGGGTCCTTTTAATGGTCACAGGGTGCGTGTGTGTGTGTGTGTGTGTGTGTGTGTGTGTGTGTGTGTGTGATGTTCCCAGTGCCAATATGAAGCAGCCAATGGAAAGTCAAGGCCTAATTTGGACAAAGATGGCACTCTGTGATACTGTGTTCACCATTTTAAGTATCTTTTCAAAATGCTGGACTTCACTCAGCCTCATTAGTCAATGCCTCCCCCCACCCCTTGCCTTTTTTTTTTTTTTTTTTTTTTTTTTTATAAGCACAGAGTATTATATAACAATTCACCCTTCCAATCTAGGCAAAACATGCAGTGTGATAATTACAGTCAAGTCAAAAGAATTAAAAAAAAAACCTGAATTCAAATGCTTCCATTTCAGGAAATATCTATCTCTCTCCACCCCACTCCTACCCTTAAAACTCTACTACCCTACACACACACACACACACACACACACACACACACACACACACCATCCGAAACTGTAACCCAGGGGGCCAAATTTTTCATGGTCTCAAGAGATGGGATTGCACGGTCAGAGAGAGAGAAGCTTAGCAATTAAGCACACCAAAGAGCTGCCTCTTCCATTGTCTGTGGTCAATTAGATGTGACTTCAGCCCTCCTATAATGATACTAGGGCAAAAATGTCAGGATTGCTCACATCTCCTCAGTCCCCGCCACCAACATTTGAGAACCTCTTCAGCTAAAGCAACTTGAGTGCGGCAAAAACATTATGACATAGAAGGGGAGAAAAAAAAAAGTTTATTCTCGGAGCAGCACACAGAGCTTGTGCATTTGTTTAGAGGGGACCTTAATTAGAATGTTAACGATGACACTTTGAAGAGAAGGAAGCTTAGGATAAGTTTAAACCATTTTACAAGTGAAAACATTCCCATCACGCCCTTTCCTCCCCCAGCTGAACAGCTCCAAATGCCTGGGCCACTGGAAGCAGAAATGCACAGCCATTGCTTGCTTTCTAGCATCTTTTCCTAGCGTCTGGGGCTGAGCAGGGTCTGCCTGCGCTGTGGCTGGATCCCTGCCCATGGAGAGTTAACCCTGACCATCTTCAGGAAGCCACAGGGGACACGCAGGGTCCTTGCTGCTCAGTGTGCTTTTGTCTTCTCTTCAAGAACAGCACCTGGTTTTCTTCTAAGAGACACTTCCACTCTCAGCCCAGAGAGCACAGATGTGGCTGAGACCTGCCTCAGGTTACCTCCAGACACAGGACGCCCCGGCTAATCAGAGGGCTATAAAAACAATTCAGACCCCAGGTGGCCCCTTGAAACTGGACCACCTAAAGCAGAAGCCACACCCAGCAGACAACGGAGCCCAGAAACTGAGAAACAAGTGAACTGAGTCCTGGCGACATCATATCAAGTCTGGGATCCAGCTCTACCTGTGATTAGTAACACCACTGTTTGCTTTCCTTCCACGCATCAGTAAATGTCTCATTTTGTTTAAGATAGGTTTTTTTTCCATGTTACTTACAACCAAAAGAGTCTGGACTAAGAAGAACAAAAACATCCTCTCCTGTTTATAAGCCAACTTGCACCCTTCTATTCTACAGGGCTGCTCAAGCAACATATCCCTCTGTACACAGATGCCAGGCGATGCTGCTTCTCTCTGGCTGATCAGACCTTGAGAACCCTCCAAAGGGAAATTCATTGTGCCAGATTCTACTTCTGGCCAAAGGCCTGTTTCACTCCCCCCTACCTTCGATCTGGTGCATGTTTGAAATGAAAGTCAGACTTGACAAAACTCCAGGGGTGGCCCCAGGGGGGAGTATGAAGTGCCCAGCAATGGCAGGGAGATGGTCACATAAAGAAAAGCTTTCCCTCCTGTGTCTTCAGCAGAAAACGGTTTTATGGCAACACCTGTGCCCATGTGGCTCTCTGCACGGCAGAGCAATCTCAGGAAGAGTGACCTGCCCGCCCCCCCGCCTCCACCACCAGGTTTCCAAAAACCATCAGAGGCTTAATCTTAGGATCTGGGCTCTCTCTGCTTCAAGAGGAGAGGAGCCTGCCCTCAGTAAGCTGACGGGCGCTCCAACTCTCAACACCATCGACTCTACCCATTCACTGCCCCTGTGCCTGGAAAGCCCTCGCTACTCCCTTTCCTGGCTAGTCTTGACTGCCCTTTTGGGTCCCTGAACAAGTCCTCCAGCCAGATTTCCCTGACACCGAGCCCACTCTATGCTCCCCTGGAACTTGTGGCCACATCTCACATGACTCCTAGGGCTGCCATTGGAGAGAGTCCTAAGGGCTGGGGATAGTGTCACATTCTACAGTGCCTCTCCAGGGTCCCACAGCATGCTAGCTACAACGTAGGCATTTATAAGCACTTGCTAAGTGAATGCATGCTTGAATAATGAACTTTGGGCTCTGTGGAGCTTAGCCTGGCAGCAGGCCATAGGGTGGGTCGGGGGGAGTAGGAAAGGGGTTGGCAAATGACCCATGAGACAAATCTGGCCCACTGGTCGTTTTGTAAATAAACTTTTACTGAGACACAGCCATGTTCATTGTGCTATAACGGCAGAGTCGAGTAGCTGTGAGAGACCCACAAAACCGAAACTATTTAACCATCTTGCTCTTTGCAGAAAAGTTTTCCAATCAAGGTGGTCAAGGTATCACTAAATATGGGGATGTCAATTAAGAAGCCACCACAGCATAAATAGTTTGGGCAGGAAATAAAGCTGGAAGTTAAACCGGGAGAGAGTGAAGGGGGGTGCATTCTCCCTATTCTCCCTAGAACCAAGGAGGGATGCTCAGCTATGAAGATGGCACCCAATGGAGGAGTCAGTCTTCTTCAGAACGTGGTTTCCATCTCTGCACGTCTGCGCTCTAAGCACACACACATGCAGGCTTCACTCTCAGCACAGTGGGCTACAGAGGGGGACATCCATGAGGGCCTCAGGCTTCTATGCTCAGGGGAGAGGCATCCCTCTCCTCACAGGTGCTCAGAAGGCACCCTGATGGATGCTGCTTTCCTCTCAGGCCTGGAAGGCGCCAGGCACTGTGCTGGGGGCTTTAAATCAGTATTTCTTTATGTTATGTTATGTTATGTTATGTTATGTTATGTTATGTTATGTTACGTTAATTTTATTTAAAAAAATTTTTTTTCAACGTTTATTTATTTTTTTGGGGACAGAGAGAGACAGAGCATGAACAGGGGAGGGGCACAGAGAGAGGGAGACACAGAATCGGAAACAGGCTCCAGGCTCTGAGCCATCAGCCCAGAGCCTGACGCGGGGCTCGAACTCACGGACCGCGAGATCGTGACCTGGCTGAAGTCGGACGCTTAACCGACTGTGCCACCCAGGCGCCCCATGTTACGTTAATTTTAATGTGAATTTTTTTTTTGAGAGAGACAGAGAGAGAATGAGCAGGGAGGGGCAGAGAGAGAGGGAGACACAGAATCCGAAGCAGGCTCCAGGCTCCGAGCTGTCAGCACTCAGCCTGATGCAGAGCTCGATGTCACGAACTGCGAGATCATGACCTGAGCCGAAGTCAGACGCTCAACCGACTGACCAGCCAGGTGCCCCTGCATCAGTATTTCCTACACAGGATGACCGCTCCCTGGGGGACAGCTGACAGTGTGTGCAGACACTTTTGGTTGCCAACAGTGGGGGGAAAGGTTGCCGATGATGTCTAGAGGGTACAGGCCAAGGATGGTGCTGAAGCCCCTACAATGCACGGGACAGGCTGAGCCCCAAGTGTTCACTGTGCCCAGACCCAGATTCCCTGCTCTGCACGCACATGCTATATCTTCCATCCCATGGTACTTTGCTGTGGAGTACCCTGCAGCCCAGAACTAGGACGGATTTTGCAAGGTCACAGCAACAGCTCTTAGGGAAGCTGGGAGCTGAACTACAGCCTGGGTATCTCTCATCTGCCAAGGCTATCTGCTGGTGGCAACATTCATTCCCATTTTTAAACATACCTCTCTCTGTCATACATACACCTGTGGCCTCAAGACCTGCAACTCACCCTCCAGGAAGGCAGGTGCTGGGGGATGTGGGACAAAAATACCAGTGTCCCAGTAGCTGGACTAGCCCCTGGGGAGGGTTAGAGCAGAGGTCTGGGAAATTTGTGCCATCTAAGCTCAGAGCTTCATGAGGCTCTGAGGCCATCCTAGGAAAGAGAAGGGCGAGCTGGGGACAGGCTGCTAACCTCTACCAAACCTTGTGCGTTCTGGCACACCCAAGGCACTGAGCCCTAGGGTTGTGTCCGTGGCCACTCAGGAGCCCATGGGTAGCAAGCATTTGGGTCCACGGGGCTCTGGACTGTACTCCTGTTCCTGAAGGCCTCAAACAGATGTTAGTGGGACCTCCCATAGTTACTTATTAACACTGACAGCCATTCCAGAGAGACCCTAATTAATATTCCCAACATTTGCAATTTGGGCTAATTACAGCTAATATTTAATTAAGATCATTGTACTTCCTGTGGAATTATTTTTCACCTTCAAATGGCTTCA